TCTCTATCTCTATCTTTATCTCTATCTCTATCTATATCTATATCTATGTCGATATCTATATTTATATCTATATCTATATCTATACTTATATTTAGATCTATATCTATATCTATATCTATACTTATATTTAGATCTATATCTATATCTATATTTATATCTATATCTATATCTATAACTATATTTATATCCATATAAAAGTATATATATATATATGTATATATATATTTAGTGGAATGATGCTTTTGACGAGTGGTCACAGTTTATAAATGCATTGTCCAAGGGAGCCTTGTTAGAGAGGAGCCGTGTTAGATTGTATCATCATTCTCCATCTGCTACTGCACCACATGTGGTAATTGACCACGTCGCACAATTGGCTCACGTCGTTCTGAAGAGTTCCTTCACCGAGTGATTGCATTCTGAAGCAAATTGCATCTCTGTCTGAGCATTCGCTTGTTGGTTGCATTGTGCATTCCGGAAGAGCTCGAAATTAACAATTGACTGTTTCATTCGTGCCCATTATGGCGTGTAACAGACGTCCAAACAGGTTTCGTAAACCAATGTGCTGTGCTTCAAGCCCGGTAGGGCTCTTTAAGCATCACAACCCATGAGCGAGGATAGTGGTGTGCAAGGTCATGTCAACGGACAGGTTTCCCCCTTGGTTACGCAAGGTGCAGTGGCAATGCAACGCATAGTACCAGCAGTTCAGCCGGCGGCGAAGGATTTCACAGTGATTCTGTTGCGTCTTGTAATTTATCTTCATCCGTGCTGCTGCGATGGGGAGCACGTGCTCTGCGGCTTGGGCCTTCCACCAAGAGTTTCAGAAGCCGCAGGCTGTGTGCAAACAGTCCGGATGATGTTCGTCTGTGTGAGTCATCAACTGGGTTTGCTACTAGATCCAATGGAGACGATCGTTGCTGCGCATTTTGCAAGTGCTGTGTTGGTGGTTGTCGAAAAAGGCTTTCCGGGGTCGTGGTCTGCGGCAGGATTCAGATTTCCCACATGCAAATTCGAAGTTTGTGGTGCAGGCTGGTGGTGGACATTTGGCCGAGCCAGAGGAACTACATGGTTATTTAGTGGTCTTGGCGCTTGTTTCGCCGGCTTCGGGGCCAGACAAGGCGCTGTTGCAACATGTGAAGAGCATATGGGGAAGGTTTCTAGTCCATTGCAAGAAAAGGTCGAAGCAGAATTGGGCTTGCTGATCTCCAAGCAACATGCCCCTGGCACGGTGCCACCGCGCGCGGGGCCACCATCCCTGCAGCGGACGAGTTCTGCGACGGCCCCGAAGAGCTTGGGCGGCTTAGTTGCGATGCGACTGTACAAGGGCTGGATATTTGGGGACGGATTGCCCAGAATCCAGGCCTGCCCCCGCGGCTCATGCGGTTGCGCTCCGAAGTCGGTCCTTCTGCGACGATGCCCGGGCTCAGGCACTGGGCTGTCCACGCATGTAGCGGGATTCATCGGCGTGCTGGTAGTAGGTTCCTGGGACTGAGCGCTTGCAGCCCGCAGTCCATGTTTCGTGGCCAGGCGAATAAGCACGGCGCTAGACACAAAGGCCGGGCATACTGCTTGTGTTGCAACTTGAAAGCATGCAGACGACGTGTGGAAGTTCTGCGAGAGTATGCTTGAGGTGAAGGGCATCCCAGCGCCTTGGAAAGACCGCTGGACCTTGCCTGGAGCCACGTTGCAGCGTCGTGGGTCAGCCCTCCTGGGGGAGCTGTCGCTGCGGGACTTGGAGGACCTGATCGGGGTGTCGTATGGCACGTGTCACAACCAGGTCAACCTCCTTAGATTGTTTTGGCTCAGGGCTTGCAGACGTTGATCGGCCGCTTGTTCGCAACATGCTTTCCATTGTCCTGCGTGCAGAAGGTAAAGAGCCTAGTTGAAGATTTGCATCTACGCCGAGAATCTGGCCCTGAGGGCCGTTTCAGCAACTGCACTCAGGTGAGCAGACAGCCCTTGACCTTTCTCTGGAAGTGTCAAGCGGGACTCCCGAATTTCAGACGCAGGTAGCTGCGAGTGAGGGCTTGAGGACCCTGTACTCAGTTTCGACAGAAGCAGCGGGAAGGCTTTTCCCTGGAGTTCGAGCGTGACGATTCTGTTGGCCATGCGATCAGCTGCTTGGCCAATTTGGATATGCATCATTCGAGCAATAGTGCCTGCCCAGTCGAGGGGGCGAGCATGTTGGAGTTGCAGCTTGGCAGTCGACACAGATCGATCCCAAGATGTCAACAGAAGCAGGACTGTGCAATAGTCGGCAGTTGTCACGCTCTCGTATGGTTTTGGGTATTCTCAGGTATGAGCAAGCTGCTGCAGCAGTGCTGCAAGAATGGGTGAAGCAGCTTGGCGTCTTCTGTCAGTATGCCCACTAGTCTTTCTGCGTTGTGTTTATGAAGGTGAAACTTCGAGATGTGCGACATACTCAGGCGATCCATCTATGCTGCTCCTCGAATTCATCCAGACTGTCGTTTCATCGTGGGGTAACTGCCAGGGCATAGGAGCATTCGGTATCCGGGAAGTATCGTAGCAAGCCGCCAGTCCTCAGACCTTGGTCGTGCAAGAGAAAGGCCTGCTACTTGCATTTTTCGCTTCTCGCGCTCTTCACAGAACAGTTGCTGCCTGTTCATCCCAACGGTATGCTGCTCGAGGCGGGCATGACTAAAGTGGTGCGGCTTGAAGCACGTCCTTCTGCTCTGGCTACAGGCATTGGGGACTGCCTTGCAGAGCCTCGAGGCAAAGTGCTTTTCAGCTCAGCTCTGAACCTCAAAGCGAACCCGTGAAGGATGGTGGCTTGGAGCACGTCGTGGCTTCTGCGGCCTGCTTGGGGCAGGCATACGCCCATCTTGTGTGGTAGGAGCCGAAGGACGATCCAATCCTGTGACTGTGACCAGGTGGTCCTCAGGGACGGAGCCATTCCCGAGGTGCCAAACTTCTGCTGGGAGCTCCTGGAGTCTCTGCTGGCCTGCTCCGGGCTTCTGAAGTCTTCAGGTTTTCGCGTGTGCACCTGGTCTGTGCGTGTTCTGCTGGGTATCTGCTGCTGTATGTCTCGCAGACACAGGGCATGTGTCGTATGCAGGACAGATTTCCGGCCATCCCCCCCGTCGCAGAGAAGAAACCCGAGGAGGTGCAGCAGGGAAGTTGGATCCTGACTTGAAGGTATCCCGATGTTTAATTTTTTTGCATAGCAGAAAGAGTGGTTCAGAGATCTGTGCACTGGCTCCCCAGCTCCTGATCTTGTCTAGCTCCAACCTTCGCAGCTCTGTGGTCAATTTGCTTGCCACGAAGACACTCGCCAGTTCACGTGGCTGCCAGGCTCGAGAGGGCCAAGGACAGGAAAAGCTACTGGCTTTTGCCAAAGGTTTGCAAAGCTGGCCGGACACTTACGGAAAAGTTGGGAGTGTCGGTGTCCAAACTGGCAAAAGCTGCGAGTGCGTGTGAGGTGGCTGCAAGGGCTGCCAATGAGCCCAGTCGAGAGGCTCGGGCTTTTGGAGCAGATCACCGCCTTCGTGTCAGCTTTGGCCCTATCGGAGTCGCGGAGCTTTTGGCCTTGCTACCGGGGCCATCTGCTCTTGCCGCTCATCCCGCGATTTCACGAAAGCCTTCCGGCTTTTGCTTGGCCGTCTTTGGGTGGTTCCAAGAAGGTCACGGACGTCGTCCTGCTGTCTGCAGCCCCCCAGCCCAAACCTGTCAAGAAGGGCCCGCCTGTTTTGCTGCGAGCCGCGACGGCGCTACAAGCCAACTGGGCAGATGCTGTGCGAGATCTTCGAGAGACTGCTGGCCGACTGGCCGTTCATGGCGACGAGCTGCTGCGAACCGTCCGCGAGGCCCAGGCGCTGGTCCGGGAGATGCTCTCCCGGAGTCCGAGCGAAGCGATCTCCAAGGTGGCTTGGTCTGAGCAGCCGTGAGAGCACTCCGTCCGTTTCATCCCCGTCCGAGGCGGCCTTGCATGGTGCCGAGTCGGCCTTGGAGGGAGTGGTGCCGAAGATCGAGGCTCGGACAAGCCGACTTCTTACTGCTTCGACACATGCTGTATAGCATTTTAACTCCGTGATCGTTTTTCAGACTACAGCCCATACAGTTTCTACCCCAACTCGCTCATGTTTCCAATGTATGCATGATGACAATGAGCCATTTCCAGGAATGGCAGGGTGCTGCTGCAGAGGCGATGGAGTGGGTCACGCAGGAGGACGTGCGACAGAAGGCCGGAGCAATTTCTCTTAGAAGCAAATCCCGAGGACATGTTGATTGTGCAGGAGCGAGTGGCCACCTCCCGGAGCATTCATCAAGCGTTGAAAGAGGCCTGTCGAATGGACTCGTTTGATTCCAAAGGGCGGCCGGTCTGGACGCAACCTTTTCTTTTGACTTGCAGATGCCTTCCACGTCCTCAACGGTCGCTTCTGTGTCGACATTGAAGATCCCAGCTGACATCATTTCGGGAGAGGTTCAAGACATAGCGAACTTCGGCGGCATACTGACACTTGCGCCCTTTTTAGTGCGGTACGAAGTCCTGATCAGTCGATGTAAAGCTAAGGAGAGCAGGCGAGATGCTCTTGGTCTCTGCTAGTAACACGCAGTCCAAAAAAGGCCCGGTGCTGTCTACACTGGTTTGCAGTCTGAGAAGCTGTTTTCACACAACGGCAGTTTAGCGGATGCAAGATTTGAGGGTCTGTCGAAAGTCTAGACGGTGCAAGATTGCTGGGCCAGCAGCCTCCTGCAGCTTCATGTCTCTTTTGATTCTTGGAGGCTATCTGTACCTATTGGAGAACTGCAGTGGGCCATCTCCGAAATGTTCTGTCGTGGTGAGTGAGGCTCCGGCTGCGTTCAATAGGGCGACTGATCAGGTCTTCTCTCGCAGAACCCGCAGCACATTCCTTCACCAAACGAAACGTGACGTGCAAGTCAGTGTGTCTCGGTGACCTAGACCTATTCGATAGTCATTGGAATAGGTGGAGTGGTGCTGGAAGCCAGAATCGTTCCTGTTTGATGTGTAGATTGTAGAGAAATTAAGGTACCGGCTTGGCTTTTGAGTGTCAGGAAGATTGTGAAGGGAAGGCTTCTAGCGTCGTTATGGCCATGTCGCAGTCAGTGAGAGAAGCTGGCGTTTAACGAGATAAGTTGCTACCAACAACAGTGTGCGCGACGAGTTGTAGTTCAGAACTTGGCAGGTTATGTAGTCAACGTAGTCGTGGACATGTCCCGGCATCTTGCAGGCAGAATGTCGCGGAAGATGTCCCCGTTCTGCGTGTAGTCCAGCAGACCCGTAGCCATAGCCTGAGAACAACACGAGGCGAACATGCTTAGTGGGCCATAGGAAAGTAGAAGGAAGGGTTGGGGACACGAAATCCTATATGCCCAGATCCTTCATTGCACAACTATTCAAGCCTCCTGTGCGGCAGAGGCATCAGAGTTGAAAGCACTTCAAAAGTCGAGTACACGTGCGCATGTGAACATCTTGGCGCCGTCAGGAGTCAAGCATTGGCTTCCGCGATGGTGCTCTCAAGGATGCTCTTTTCGGCGTTTTGCCCGCACGAGCGACTGCGGCCAAAACGTCGATGTCTTTGGCCACTGAGGTCAGCTTGCCGTGGGACTCTGCGGATGCACCTCGGAATGGGCACAAGTGCAGCCCGACAGCTTGGAGCATGTTGTAGCATGTTGTAGCTTGAGGTGAGGATGGAAGCTTCCTTGTGGCTGACATCTCCAACCACCGAATCCGTGGCTCGGTAGTGGAGAGCTGTCGCGTTCTGCGGTCACATTGCGCTCTTTCAGGCCGAGTTTCCAAGACTTTGGAGGTGAAGGCAGTGGCAGGCTCTGGGTCTAAAGGTGGCTTGGACCAGACTCAACCTTTCAGATCTCTGCAGGGTTGGAACAGGTGGGAACCTTCTGTACATTTCCCACAGGTCAAAGAGACGGGAAAATGGCTTCCGCTACCTTCTCGTCTCCGCGCGCACTGATCTCGCTTGGCGACACAATACTCATCACGGAAGACGCTCGGTCCGGCGTCGACATAAACTAAAGCAATGGGATGGCCTTTCCTTGTGATTAGCCCCTTCTTTGTTGTTCTGAGGATGGCCATCCTGGAACGGTCCGCGTTTTGGAACAAGGCTAGGTGACCCGGCCCGTGACTGCGCTTATTGCTCTGCACTGCAGGTTTGGCTGATTCGATTACTATACCACTCGGTCGCCAGCAGCAACAGATGCAGGACGAAGAGAGAGTTCAGGTGTTGATTCCGCAAGTGTGATGACCGCTTGTTCATCGACTAGTCCTTGCCCGCACCCCGACTGACTGCTCGCAGCTTCGTTTGGCCTCTGAGAAGCCGCCCCCCGCTGCTTTGTGTCTCATGGCAGCGTGGCCCTCTTGATTTTCTTGTTTGACTTGCGCTGTCGACGGCCCTCGTTGTTACCACGTCTGCTGGAGTGTTTTGATGTATCATGCACCACTACTGCTGCTGCTACTACTACTGCTAGTTCTACGATGACGACGACGACGACGGCTACTACTGCTACTACTACTGCTGCTGCTGCTGCTGCTAATGCTCCTGCTGCTAGTGTTAGTACTAGTACTAGTGCTAATGCTAGCAGTCGTGGTGGTAGTGGTAGTGTCGTCGTCGTAGTGGTAGTGGTAGTGGCAGTGGTTGTGGTAGTGGTAGTAGTAGTGGTAGCAGTGGCAGTAGCAGAAGCAGTAGCAGTAGCAGCAGTAGCAGTAGTAGTACTACTAGTACTCGTGCTCGTGCTCGTACTAGTACTAGTCCTAGTACTAGCAGTGCTAGTCGTCCCTAGTGGTACACGAACATCGAGGTTGTTGCACAAGAACGGACAAGCAAAGAAGTCGAGGCAAGAAGACAAGCGTGCATGTTCAAGAGTAGATGCGCACAAGTTGGCAAGCAATTGAAGCATTGTGCGGCCAGCTACGTAAGTGGTCACAGTTGCACATTGCCGACCAAGACGCAGCGCACGGTTGCTAGTGACATAGAAGCTGCTACAGTAATCTAACCCAATCCAATGGACAGCAATCCTCACAGACAGGAGCCTATAGGCAAATCAAGACATGGCCGGTATACAAGACAAAGACAGATGCAAGCTACACCCTGAGGAGTCTTGCCTGGCCCCGGATGCTTGCGATCCGAATTCTGCCTGGCTCGCGTATCTTGCTCGCAAGGGCGAGCTCATGTTTGCTCGAGATCGCTCTCCTACCGAGGCACTCGAGAGCCATTTGCCGAGTTTCGAAACGCAGTGGCAGCTGGACCGTTGAAACCGTCGTCGAGATTCAAGGCATCACTGGTCTAACACACCTGTCTGATGCTGAGCTTTTTTGGGAGTGGGGCCCGGATATGGCTGGAGCCTGCGCTCCCTTGCAGTGAGGTGGAGTCCTGACGGCTCGACAGATGGCCTGGTCCTCAGCAAAAAGAAGAGCTACACGCTCAGCTTCTGGGAGCCTTAGCTGCACGTCTGTTTCCCATGCAGCCTCTGATATCCTCTGGGCTTCTGCAAGCGAGCCTCGGTAATTGCAAGGATCAGACGGAGGCAACGAAGAGCCTGAGCATCATGGCCGGGCAGGCGAGGAGGAGTGAGCGAAAGCAACACTCGCCTTCTCATGGCTGCAGGCCGCTTCGCGGGGCTCCGCGGACGGCCTCGGCACGGAGGTGCTGCACAAGGTCAGTCGTTTTGAGGTCCGAAGTCGCGCGATGGTGTCAGGCACGCCTCGCCGGCCCTGCGAAACAGTGCGTGCTCGGTGGCGGACTCTGCGGCCATCCGCGGCCCCAGGTGTTTCAGCGACTGTGTCTTTGCACTGAGCCTCAGGCGATGGATCCCTGCTGGTCGCCGACGGGCGGCGGCTGCGGCGCATCGTTACGCAAGCATTGAGGCGACAAGGGGGACACCGGCCAGGGGAACTGGAGACAGTTCAAAAGCATTTCAAAAGCATTTCAGCTCAGGGAGTCCGAGTTTGCTCGTGCAGCAGAAAGCGTCGAGCGGCACTCCCAGCTGGCATTGCAGCGAGACGCCAAGCTTCGAGAGGCTTGGGAGCAAGTAACGAGGCTGCAACTTGGCAAAGGCTTGCCAGCACCCTGTTGCGAACTTTATACGTTTCAACTTCCCAAGCCTCTTTTCAAGTTTTCAAGTCGTTTTGAGGTTTGAAGGTCCTGGCTGGGCCCTGCACCGACATCGCGTGCGCGAGGCGGCCTCTCGGCTCCCGGGGCCCCGGGGCCCAAGGACCCAAGCAATGCCATTTGCAGGCGCGCGATCTGCGATGAGAGGTTCGACATCGAAGCGGCTCGGTCATTCTCCAGGCTGGAGGCAGGACCCTGCCTGCCCGTTCTCACAAGTAGGCTGCTGTGAAGGAGATTCACAACCACAACATACAGTGCAACTGTACAGCTGCTGTCGGAGAACAGACAAACTTGTGGTGCAGCTTGGAACCAAGCTAAAAGTTCATGCAGAGCAGCGAACCTCCGAAGGCTTCGTGCGAAAGCATTGTCGCACTCGTGACTATGGCCCCCAGCATGGCCGCTGCACTGCAGGTGCTGCCCAGGCACTACAGGGATGAACGAATGGAAGAGGGATGCCTCCAGGGAGGATGTGTTACTTTCTTTCTGGTTCGGCCGCTTTCTACGGTTCTGCCCCGGGACATGAAAATTTCCGGAGCACGTCACCATGAATCCGCCCTTCTTGCAGGAAGTTCTCGTCAGGTGTGGCACAGGCGGGATGCCTCGGAAGCTGGCACTTCGATTTCAATTTGAGCTGTCTTTGAAGGTCAGCGGTGAGTTGAGAGTCATAACCTGGCAGCGAGGTGTTTTGCTGAATGCGGAACATGTTCAGTTCGTCAGTTTTGAGTGCTACACGCGTGACAACCTCAAGCTATCTCTAGACTCTGTGATCATCGTGTTCATCGGTGTTGAATGGTGAGGACTGGGTTCGATCTGTCTCGCAGGCCTTGCACAGGAAGCTGGAGAAATACCACTGGCCTCCCATGCTCCAGTCGCTTTGATGCAGAACAGCACCCCATGTCTGCCACAACCCGGAAGTTGTACTCCATTGGACATGTGCATCAGTACTCAACACTCCCTTGGCCCCTGCATTCAGGGCATCAAAGTACCTGGCTGCAGACTTGGAGGCGCTGCAACAGTTGGCAGGTCCGTTGTGCCGATTGTAAGAAAGCGCTTGCTTTCCTACTTTCGTTCTTGCTTGCTTTTGCTCAGACAGGCAGCCACTTCCTTTCGGAGACCGCAGCCGTCACCGCCGTTGATGGGCCCTGGTTTTCGCGACAGGCCAGCGGCAGAGTGAACTGGGGCTTTGATGTAGAGTGACCAGTGAGAACCTCTCGAGAGTTCAGAGTTCAGAGGTGGGATTTTCGCCACAGCTGGTGGGCCTTTTTGACATGTTGCGGCGATGCCCCCTGGCAACACTCGATTTTCGCCAGCTCTTTCGATTTGTGTCAATGGATTGGTTGTGGCAACTTGTGCTCTCGGGCGGGATTTTCAATCGGAGTTAGGCTTCATTGCAAAATACTCCAGGGTTAGATGCAGACAGAATGATTGGTTAGCTCTCACTCCCGCGTGCTTCCACTCACTCTCGAAGACCACTTGCATACTGTATGCTTTCTTAACAGGGCCGCAGGTCCTTTGCTGAAGCTGCACACCAAGGCTTCCCGGACTCACGCCCTCTGCATCTGGCGATGGTTCGATGGGCTTTGCGACGCTATGCCAGGATCTCGACGTACACGCATCTTTGTTCGTGTCTGTGGCACAGGTACCTGTGTGCGCCTTTGTCAGACAGCGGCCGGAATGAGAGAGACGCGAGACATTTGCATGAACAGCCAGGAAACGGAGTGAATGTTGCGTGAACAAACGAGATGCCTGCACAACATGCCGATGACAAGTTCCGGAGCAGATTGCCCGGGTGCTAGAGGCAAAGTGGACAAGCACCTCAGAACGGAATCTTTCCAAGCACATCCCAGATGGCAATAGCCATGTGACGAAAAGGCCTAGCTTGCCGAGGCCGCGGAGTGCCCACCCCGGGCAAACGTGGGAACGCCTTTTTGCAGAGAGGTATCATTTCTGGGAGAGTATCATATGGGCGTATCATTGGATCCCCTTAGGTCCGGAGCTCCTTCTCGAAGATTGCGAAGGCGAGGACGACTGCTTGCTGTGAGGTTGTTGCGACTCGTTTTAAAGGCGAGGCGAAGAAAGTATTGGTTGGGTGTGTTTTGTTCGGGCGCTGGCATGGGACAACTTCCTTGGCCCGGCAGTGCCTTGCTCGATGCTTTGCGGTCTGCATGTGTTTGGATTTGCAGATCTGTGACACCTTCCGAAGTGGGACGCCAGGAGCTACAGGAACTTAACGCAAGCGATGAGGAGATTGCACGTGCTTTTGCAGACTGGTTCCGTGGTCAGAATAGAGTTCAGGGCTTCTCGTGACCACTGCCGCCAGGCAGAAATGAAAGATTGTGCTGTAGAGACCAAGCTTTGCTACGAGCCTCGTATCAACACCGATGCCCAGCTTGTTGGGACTTGAGATACTGAGTAGATGTTCGGTCCTCCCTTCTTCGTCATTGCGTTTACGGTTCACGTGGGACGATCGACCTTGTTGGAGACCAGCTAGGCATGCTAGGCACAGTGGAGAGAGTGCAAGCGAAGGTTGTCAGGCATCCTGCAGTCGCTGACCCTCGGCCGATGCGCGAAGATGCGCGAATTGGAGAGACTGTTCTGCTGCAAGCGCAGTAGGCGTGGCAAGGAACGTAGTCGAGTTTTCTGCGGTGTTTCCGATTCACATGAGGGTAGGAAGGAAACTGAAACCGCAAATGCACGCAGAGCACTCGACTGAGGGGCCTGGAGCTCGAGCCGTGCGAAGAGCAGCGAACCAACAGCTTGCCCTGGCTTGTGGAGGACCGCCCAAGTTCGCAGCTTCCAGTGATGGTCGGCCCTCAGGGTGGGTTTGGCACAGCATGGAACTTAAACGGAGTGCCCACGGAAATACTTCGAGAAGCTCTTGGCGTGTTATCGTGCACACGGAAACTGGCATCGTCTCCACGGGTGCATTGCGCCGTGAAGTGGCGGTGCTGATGGCAGGGTCTTGCGGGCTGCGGGATGTCACTGGCTGGTTAAATCATATGCACGGCCACCGAACGAGCTTCCAGCTGTCGCCAGGAGCTTCTCCTGGATCACCTCATTGGGGACAGCTCAGCTCCTGAACTGAACGGCCGGCAGTGCGGAGCATTGCGGAGCATGCTTGCAGTCCACTCGTTTCAACAGATACTTGTTGCAGCCCCCAGCGTTGCTGAGAGGCCTTTCACATGTGCTGAAATCAGATACGACTTGGCTCAGCAATCCCTGACAGTGTCAAAACCGGCGGGCTCCGTTTTGCTCAACGGCTAGCAGCCAAATCTAGGATTGTGTGGCTACGGAAGCAGATCGGGGCCGTAAGCACTCGCCTGGCAGTATTCCGGCCTCTTAGTCCGGGGCCCTGTCGCCGAGGACTCCAAGTACTGGGCCCTGCAGCGCAGTGCTGCCGTGGCAGACACGCTGGGTCCTGCACTCCGCCGTTTGCTCACGAAGGCCCTGCGCCGGGGCCTTGGCAAAGGGTGAGCGGAGACACGGTCAAGAAATCCAAAAACTGAACTGAATAGATTACTAAGATGTATCCGGTGAATCCTCAAAGTCATGAGCTTCTTGGAAGCTCTTCTTGACAGCAATTTTTTTTCTGCAGTCTCTCTGCTGTAACGGGCCCGAAAGAAGCCGGTCATCCGGTCCTTCTTGCCGAAGCTTCCGCTTGTGGTGGTCCTTGCCTTCCCTGCCCGGGAGCTGCCGGCAGGCGGCCCTGAACTCCGCAACAAAAACAACCTCTCTTTTCCTACGCAAGGGGGAGGCTGCTTTGGAAGCAGCACTACTATGCGACTTAGGCGTCGCTTGCGAGACAATAAGGGAGAAGAAGGAAAACTTCTGGTGAGGTGAAGAGATTTCTTGAATTATTAAGTTGTCGCGCTTTTTTCGTTCGCTCTTCGAGGTCTCATTGCCGTCGACCTGCCGATGCGCCGATCTTTGGAGGCGACCTGCGCATTCTCCGTCACTTGGTTTCTTGGCTCAAGAGAGCAAACTTTGCAGGCTCTGGGCCTGCGCATTGACGCAGAGGCCATCGAGGTGCAATCCAGCTTGGGATTGGTGTCCGGGGCATCTTGCCTGCTCATGCTGGGTCTCGACATTGTCCGGCATAAGTTGTTCTCAGAACCACAGGCGTGATGCAATGACGGCAGACATCATCTGAGGGTGATTGGCTATTGTTGTACTTCTCGGCTTGCGGAAGAGTCACAACATGTACTTCCTTGCTCTTGGTTTCGACAAAGCTTTTCATGTCCTGTCTTGTGCAAGTTGCACGGAAACGTCTGGAGATGACCACTTCCGACATGCGGGGCACGGGGAGAACCAGTGCGAAGGGGGCGCCTCTTGGATGATCGGGGCTGCCCCGCGAGCCTTGGGCTGACCAGAAGCCTCAACTTGCACAACGAAAGACAAAGAGGAGCACAGCAAGGGTACCGCAGAAGACGAAGGGGAGTTCAGCCGGGCCGGGGTCCAGGAGATCTCAAGTGGAGAAGGCGTGAGATTACTTGAACGGTTTGGCCGGGGCTCCACAAAAAATGTTGCCCGGTCTCCCGCAATCCTGGCCTGAAGCTCGCGTTGTTGGGAGCACCTCTTTGGCCGAAAGGCTTCCTGGTTTTCGGTGACGTGTGCGTCACCGCATGCCGGCTCAGAGTAGCTCCTACCTGTACAGAGTGGTTTTCGTGGGCACAGGTACCGGCAGACACCCGTGGAGGCCTGAAGGCCGGGCCCCCAAATGGGCAGGCGGAGCTGCCCTTTGTTTTGGTCCCGTGCCAGGCGGAGCTTCTGGCTGTGGTTTTGGAGGCCCTTGTTGTGTGCCGGTGATCAGCTCTGTTTTTTGTATGGCTGTTAGTGACCGCCGCCAGAACGCCTTGGAGCCGTCAAAGAAAGAGAAGGCCAAGGAGGCAGACAAGGCCCTCCCCCTGTTGGAGCCGATGTAAGCCAGTCAACACAGATGGTCGCAGCCGTGTCAGGGAAAGGGAAAGGGGCCGAAGAAGCCACTGTCCGAACTGCAGGACTTGAGATGGTTTGCAAAGCATCCTCAGCATTCCGCTTCCATCCGCTTCCTCCCTCTTCGTCTTCAGAGTCCTTTGCAAGGCTTCGTCACGCACCTCATGTAAGTCGCAGGCAGTACAAATGTTCGAACAAGTCCGACACTCTCTGGTAGCGCTTGCTCAGCCTTAACAAAAAGATGTTGCGGAGCCAGAAGGGAAATCTAAGGGTGCATGTTTGTCTGGAGCGGATCTGTCTTCGCTGGTGGGGGGGTCTCGAGTCTCGCCATGGCTGTGACTGAAAATGCGTTGTGCCCTGAGGATGTTGGATTGTGGGGTCATGTCTTTGACATTTTAGCGGCTAGTCGGACCTTTCTATTCTTGCACCCAGGCCTAAGTACAGGATCGCCGTTATTCATCATCAAGATAAACAGCATTACGCACCCCCGGAGTTTGCAGACGCTGGCCTCGCTTGCGCTTGTGTTTCGCAGGACGTGCTTCGGGCAGACTTGTCCGCTGCCAAGCGGACTGTTCTGGTCAGTCCGCAAAAGACAGAACGCTTCCCGAACCCAGCCGAAGTCTCAAGCAGCTTCTCAGGCTCTCCTGGGGATGCGTGCTGCGCTGGTTCGACGGTGTGCAGGCTTGCTCTTGGAGCCCGCAGAAGGGAGGGCACCGTGGCAGCTGTCGTCAACCTTAGATCTTTATGTCGTGCAGCGGCTCAAGCGGAACGCTTTTGAGCCTGCGGTAGGTGCGGGCTGCTGTGTTCAGGACACTGTGCCTGACTCGATGACGCTGGCCAGCCAGCTCTGTAAAGATGCCGCTGCAGCCAGGAAGACCTGGAGTGCTCGCGAGACAGAGAGGTTTGCCAAGGTATGCCAGAAGAGGGTCAGAGACAGCCAGGGCTTCGAGACCACTACGAGATTGAAGATTATCGCACCAGCTCAAACACATGAGGGTGCCAAAAGGGCCGCACAGGAACTGAAGCGCAGCCTGGATTCGCATGGCTTTCTTGCTTCCGAAGTGCAGGTGGAAGCTTTGGTAAAGGGCATGATTTTCCGTCTCTCAGTTCAGGCGTCATGGGTGAAGGATAAGAGTGCGTCGGGTGGGCTTCGCGGGCAATGCCCCATTTGCCTTGGTGACAAAATTCTTGTGGCACTGGCCCCTTGTGGCCACACTGTGTGCAATCAGTGCAAAGGCAAGATTCCCGTTGGACGGAAGTGTCCGATGTGCCGTTCCGTTGTGGAACGGGTGACGACCGGGATTTACATGGACATGGCATGAAACTGCGGATGACGTTGGGGCTTGGTGGACTGGGTCAGGCTAATTTGGCATCCATGTGGTGAGCTGAGCTGGGAAGGCCTTTGCATGAGGTAGTATGCATGCCAAAACAGCTCAGCTGAGAGAAGAGTGGATTGTGTAGAGGATCTTGACGGGCATCAATTTGCAGCAGATGACGGCATGTTGTGAGCAAAATGGGAGCAGCTGTTTTTGACACGGAGGTCTTGCCCCAATCCTTTTGGGACGCTGTTTCTCGAAAGTTTATCATACTTTGCAGCCTCGGGTCCTGTCAAAGACGAGCCTTGCGTCTTCGTCACGAGGAGCATCTTCCAGCCGAGCTGCGTGGGCGCCTCCAGAAATGCACGGAGCCCGCTCCATCCCCAGACTATCTGCGTGCACACACGCCCTGCATATAGGTTGGTCCCGGTGCTATCATTTTCTCTAACGTGCGGCACGGGATTTGAACTTGAACCTATGGGTGCAGGGATTTTGCTTCTCGTGTCAGGCCCGCGGTGGCCTGGCCCTTCTGGCACAAGCGGCACACGCTGGCACGCTGCCCGTAGAGATCTCAGACAGTCTTCTCTTCTGCAAAGCGCACATCTGTGCCGTTGGTGTGCCAAGGTGGGTTCGGTGTCCAGTCTCGTCTCCAGTGCTGGCGACGCGCTGGACTGCGACTTGTGGGAAGTGCATTGCTGTTGCCAGTTTCCGCTGCCGTGAGGAAATGGCAGGGCATCAGGACGGCGCAGAAGCTCTACGCCACCCGTCCCGAGCACCGAAAGAATGTGGCGGGCAAGGTGTTGGCAATGATTGTTCGAGAGTTGCTCAGAACAGTTTAAGTCGTGCTTCAGCCCAGGTACTTGGCACGAGAGACTGGTGGAAGCCAACGTTGTACTGCAGGGCCTGGTGGCTGGGCCCTGCACAGACACCGAGACAGAGAGAGACAGACAGACACACACACACACATATATATATATACACACACACAACACTCACAACACACACACACAGAGACAGAGAGAAACACACGCAACAACAAGAACAAGAGAACCACTTATAGTCAGATGGCAAATC